AAAAAAAAAAAAAAAAATAAAAAAAAAAAAAAAAAAAAAAAAAAAAAAAAAAAGTCATCACACAGTAACAAAATCATCAAACTAATATTTATGTAAGATTATTTAAAAAAATGAGCTAAAATTTCATTGAAAGAAAAAAAAGCCATAGGCACGAGAGCCAACCTTGTCAAACGTGTGCGACGTGAGTTGCACGCAGGCACTGCAGTCCTCGGCAGCCGCGAACTCCATGTCATACCCGAGCACCAAAAAGATGGACAGGGTCGCGAGGAAGATCTGACGGAGTATCATTTTTGCAGCTGCACTTGTGCGAGACGACGTTTTTTTTTTCCCAACTTGACGTCTGGCTACTGCACGGGACTGCTGTGGGCGAGCGTAGGGGACCGGCTTAAGGGCATCGACACCGTCACGGCTGCTAATTGTGCTCCTTCCTCTTTCTTGTTGGCGCTTCTTGTTATCTCCTTCGACACTTGTCGGGTTGTGTCCTCCCGTACACCTGCGCACGAAACTTTATTTTTCTTCTTTTAAACATTTTTCTTTCGGTGCAATAAAAAGCTTGTATAGGCCAACGAAAACGACTATATCATCAAGTTCTTCATTTGGTAATGCGAGGGAATATAATTTTTACGGATCGCGACTGGAAAAAAAAATTACTGCTGAAAAAAAAGTACACGTTTTTAGTGTACATAGTGGCTTCTTGAACACGACGTCGATAAAGCCATAAGTAATGCTGTATTACTCCCTTCGTATCATTTATTTACACACGCGTGTTATCGAAATTCTGCCGTTGGTCTTATCGATTTCCACGTTTCAAGAGATTCTAGAACTCATATTTTTTATGCCTTGAGCCGTAAATCAGGACGCAACTTTCAAGATTATTTGAATTTTTTTTTTTTTTTTTTTGTCAAACATTAAAAAAATTGTTTAAGTTTAAAGGTATAAAGCATACACCGATTTAACAGAAAAAAAGCCACAGAATACACAAACCATCTCTTCGTTGTTGTACTGAATCATACAGGAGAAATCAATGAAATATAGAATGTAATGATAGTCCCTCGCTATCGACGTGGAGTCGACGTACATATACACACCCACAAACACACATGAGTAAGCTGACACGGCAAAATCTCCGATGCGAGCCCCACAATTCATGTGGAGGTTCTACAATTCAGCCCATATTTTGTGGATAAAAAAAAAAAAAAACAATTCGGTTCGTCCAAAAATTAGAGATTCGACTTACATTTACTTAAAAACACTAGAAAAAGCAATTCTTGTATCCGTTCGAAATGAATTGTCAAACAAATGTCATTAGAGGCACCTCACCAACTACCCCAAAACCATCACGAATGTACAACCCCTTTTGTAAACATAAAATACCATCGAGTAGAAGAAAATAAGAAAAAAATAAGGAAAAATCAGCGAAACAAAAATATTTTAATCAATTGACAACCAATACAAAATTCAGTTAAAGCGTCCGAGTTATGAAATTGAACAACCCCTAGTAGCGACTAACCTTCACACTGGGAGCAGGAAAAGCAGCACTGGCAGCAGCAACAGTAGCCAAAGCCGGTGTCCCCCTCGAGACTCTCGAGAGTTCCGAGTAAGCACATCTACCTATATATTGCATTTGCTTGGTAATCGTATACTTATATATTGTACGTGTCCGACATACGACTCATCATATCATATCGCGTGCGCTGCGCATATACGGGTCATCTTGTAAAAAATACGATATTTTTGTATGCCAAGTATAACTTTGAAAATTTCGTGTTTTTCAAGATATTTGGTCCTCAAACGGCCGAAAATTATTGGGTACAACTATGTTGTCATTTTTAGAAAACCATTATTTTTTAAATGTTGTATTTTTTTTTTACTTCAAATATTAGTTACAGTAACGACGATTGTGCTAATAACAAAACACTAGTAAAGTTAAGATTTTTAAGTCTTAAACTTTAAGTAACTTTATTTATCCAAGACTAATTCTGGCGCAATATTAATATTCGCTTATGTTAAAAAAACGAATGACTTAAAATGGTCATCACATGAGTAATCCTAAGAAATTATTCTCCATGTTAAATTTATAGTGTCAAAATTAATGGTCACAACTTCAACGAAACGTTGAATAATTAACATTAATTCAGAAAAACTTTTGAATTTTTCTAAAATACTTACATCAAAAGGTCGTTAAGTTGTGAACACTAGAGAAAATTAACATATTGGTGTTACACTCTGTTAAAAGTAAATTTTTTGTACATCTTATCGCAAAATACGTTAATTAAAAAAAGAGTTTGCAATAAGGTAAATATCATTATTCAATCATAAATATTGTCTTTTTGGATCAACTGTAATAGATAAATGGCTATTTTTTATTTATTTTTTTAAATCTGAAATAAGCTATTTCACCGTGCGTAAAATTAAGAACAAACCGCTGCCAATCGATTGACACAAAATTTCTCACGTTATTTGATAATCTCTTTTTTGTGGATTCAATTTATTTCAGATTTTAGTTTTTCATTAAATCATAAGAATCTTTAATTTTTAACAACTAATCTATTGTTCACCCAAAACTTAATTTTCTTTTTATTTTATACAAACGCATTGTTTTCGTTAAAAATTTCACGATATTTGAGAGTTTATAACAAATAATATCCTAAAACAAAAAAAAAATCGATTTCTCGACACCTACGGAGTGTGGCAAAGGTATGTATGTCATCAGTCCTCATATTACAAAAATAGTTTTTTTTTGTTTTACAACACTCAAAAAAATATAATAATGAAAAGAAAATAAACAAAATTATTCCTGTCTGATGCACCAAAATGTTTCTGACTTGAAAAAACTTAAAGAAAAAAAAAAAAAAACTTTTACAAGCACGAATGGAGAATAAGACTTTTATTTATTCGTGGATTAATATGAATCAGGTATTCGTTGTTGCTTATTCGCGTACAAAAACGGGTGCGACCCTCGTCTCAGAAAGAAAATGAAAAGTCATAACAAGAAAAAGAAGAATGTGAAAATAAGTAGTCATGGTAACGAGACTCGATCAAAGAGAAAGTAAAAAGGCGACTTGATTCGGTCGAACTTCTGCGTTTGAGCACTCTGCTCTCTCGCTCCATGGTCCTCCCCTTTTATCAATCACTAAGTTGATTGTTGAGAAAGAAAAAAGTGCCCCCGACCAGTTCTTATTTAAATCATCGTGACACGACCTTCACCACGACTTAATTAAGCGTGTGAGGATTCGTTTGCTCATCTTGATCTATGTTAAGTAATTCAAAAAAATCAGAAATACAGGCAAACGCTTGACAATATATATAAATACAAATAAATAGAAAAGAAAACTTAGTTCGTAACACCATAAGATGGTAAAATACTTCTGTAGATTCATTCAATTATATGAATGTTTTTAAATGAAGCTTTCGATTATTCTGTTCTTGGACTTGACAAATTTTTTAATAACAACAGTGCAGAGTTACATCAAACTAAATAATGATAAGTAATTTTTTTTCGCTTGAACATAGAATTGATGACAACTTGTTGATTGATGGATTTGCAACATCAAAAATTATTGTATGCTTCAAATATTGTCTACATTTTTTTTTCTTAATTACCGTTTTATTGCGTTACTTCTTAACTATAGAACACAATCTCATATAATATACCTGTATCAGACAAGTTTTTAAAGTATATTTTGTTGATATACATAAAAGCGTTATGTGTATGAGTTACTCAACTTTCTTTTAATGCACTTTACATAAGTTGTGTTACCTATTAACTTATTTATATTGAGAATTTCTTAATGCATAAGCTTTTTTGTACTTTTCTATGTACATACTGGAAAATTTTGTTTAGTTTGAGTATCCTTTTTTACTTAATGAGTGCAGGAGTTATCTAGCTTTTATTTGTTAAATTAAAGTTGCATTTAGCATGGTATTTATTTTTAATGTGATTAAAGAGTTATCTCATATTATTATTGGTCTTATTAGTGCACTTCTGTCAAATTTATATTAACATTAAAGGAGGGAAAACATATTTTTGTCGCTTAATTAGAAATAAAAATTAGTAAAAACAAAAAAAGCTGAAAGAAGAGCATTGAACCCAAGAATTTTACGTTTGAAAGCAAAAGCTTTATCACACACCTAACTACTGTAGGTCCATGACACGAGATATTTTGGAATTCACTCAGGTGCTTCTGCATAATCTGTTCATTTATGTATTCTGAGAAAAATTAAAGTAAGACCTTTTTTTATACTTTTGTTATTGACATTTTATTAATTAATTATGGTTTGGACGTGTATTACAGTAGTTTCGCACCAACAGTCAGTAATATATGGACAAGTAAATGAAAAGGCATTTTGCCGTCCTACTTAAGAGGTAATGGTTATTGGCACCTGTCTTATGTAGGGCATAACTTAAATACCAGAAAGAAGCTATTCACGACAAAACAGCTGATCTAGCCTTTAATGCAATAGAAGTATATTCTATATTCTCTGCCTGGAGCTCGAAAAGCTGACATTTTCGTCCACTGTGCCGACGGCGATATTGACTTCCTGGACACCAGGACACGTGAAATCGTGTACGCATTATGTTCGGAGGTTGCCCTAGATGTCATGTTCTCCACCGTTGGCTTTGACTTGGACGTTTATTCACGTGACTCTAATGACATTATTAACCTCACTCATTAGGTACATAATGTAGAATGTTGAGAAATGGCAGGTTACAAAACTTTACAAAAATAATGTTAAAGTAATCGACTTTCTTTAAACAAACGAATTGTAGAAATTCTTAAATGGAAAAATAGCAGACACTGCATAATACTATCAACATGAAACTTGATTTGATTAGTTACAGAAGTTAACTTGAGTTATTGTTTTTTTTTTGGTTGCCGTTAAACTTTTTTTGCCCCTCAGGCACAGTGCTTCATGTCCTACGGCAGAATTTCTGCAGATTTGTATAATACTCACCCAGGAAGAAAAAATAAAGAATGTCTCAGATTCTTTCTAAGTGATTCTTTGTTTCCTCCCGTGAGTTGTAGGCAGGATAAGGAATATTCGTTTCTTCCTTTGGGAGAAGGAAAGTTCATTCTTTTGGCAGAGTATGGTAGGTGAAACGTTGCTTTCTGCCCACGGGTGGGAATAAGTATTCTGGCTCTGCCAGGCCTAAAGTTTGCTTCCGTCCTTGGATGAAAAGTAACTAGTGAGCTGGANTTAAAATGATGAAATGCATGTTTAATTTTTTTTATAATTGAAACTTTTAAGAAGTATTGAACTCAAACTTTCAATATGCACGGTTAAAGCTGTGAATGTGTTGTGTCAAGAAAATCCCTTAATTTTGCATAAAATGCGCTATCAACGCTAAGAAATTTATAGAACTAATCGACAAAAATAGTAACCATTCCAAAATCTTACACAAAAATTTTAGAAGAGAGCATGAGGCACGCTTCGTTTGGTCTAGTATAGACTGTAAAACCTTAGTCCTAGTGATGTGAGATGGTAAAGCTTATAATTACAAAACATGTATGATAAATTTTTTTTAATCAACTACGTTCATTTATTTTTAATATAAACCTATACCATGTATAAAATCAGTACCATTAAATACAAAGTCAATAAATACATCGCATTATACAAAATGACCTACTCATCATGCGAACAATTCTTACAGTCATTCAACCAACACGATACAACCGTAGAATAATACACTTAGCCACATCTTCATTTTATAAAAAGCTACTTTAGTAATTGCTTCTTTTTTTAATCCACATACTATTCATATAAATGATTTAGCTATCAATTCATTGATATTTAACAATAAAAAATAAAAAAATACAATGCGAAGCATGTAGTAAAGTACGGAGAAGTACACTTGCAGTGGACAAGAAGTTGTATATTGAACCGATCAAAAGTAAATCAGCTGCCATCACTGTTGCCATTGTGGTGTGAACTCACAGTGTCACTACAACTCAGCCTATTCTTGTTTGAGACGCTTCGGTAACTACGGTACAATTGCTCCTCTTCGAGAAAGTAGTCACGTAGCTCGACCATCTTTCTTCCGTTCTCGGCTGTGAAAAAGTTATTATGTATTTCAAGCAACACAAATCATTATATAGAAAAATGTGGTACTAAAAAAAGTTTAATACAATATTACACAAACAAAATTATAAGTTTAAAATAAATATTATCTCTTCAGTGTATTTCTTCGAATAAAATGTAGTGACTAATTTGGACTCTATAAATTCTTCATAACTATTTAACTTTTAAAGTTGTTTCGTTAATAATACTTTATTTGTAACATTTGTTGGTACTAAGTTCGAATCACGTGACATTTTAAATAAAAAATTATTGCATTTATTCCTTTATTTTTACACCTTTTGCTCCTTTATTTAAAATGAGAAATTTGTGAAAAATATTTTTTAGTGTTAATGATGTACGTTTGTAAGTATAGTTTTTGTAAAAATATATAGTTAATGTAGTAAATATTGTTTTTATAAAACTTTTGCAATTCATTCATTGATTTACTCAAGCATCAGTAAGCTGTACGTTTAATAATTTTTTGACTACTTTGATTTTTTTTTCTTAATATAATTTTATTATTAAAAATCTATAATGTGCTCAGTATCTTTCACTCAAGCATAATATCTACTGAATATCGCATAAATATACTGAAAATCGCATTCTTAATTTTATTCATCTTGAAATTTATTTAATTTGTAAAATGTACACAAAATGCAGAATAAGGCACGTAATTATAGGTGTCGTATTTTTACCATGATACGTTTCGACGTCATCCAGCTGACCGCCAAAATCCTTAGGAAGACACTCAGGTGGAATGTGCTGATAAACGAGTGAAACGTCTCCGGAGTGCAAGTGCAGCTATGCAA